AACAAGCTTCTCAATTACACATAAACCAGCAAACTGAAAAAACTCAATTAGTACTCAAACAGGACTGTGCATTTGCAGTGATGCTGGCCAAAGTAAAAATTAAGGCAGTCTTTCTACCTTCATGCACCAGGACACAAAGTAATCACCTGCTGAAGGTGAGGAAGAAGTCTCCTTCCAGGATACAGTAGCACACACCTGTACCTTCTGGGGCGCACTGGTTGAATCAACGTTGTTCATTGGGGCAACTTTTTTATCAAATAAATGATCCACAATTGTGATTAGGGGTCTGGGTCTCCTCTCAAGCATCCAATATAGACTGTGATCAGAAGCTTATGGGGTTTAGTCTAGAGCAGTAAAGCCATTCCTATATTCCTCAATGTACAGTACAACTGAACGCAAGAATTTTCTGACTCTCAGTTCCTTCTTGAATACAAATATTACATAAGACCCCAGCACACTACCACTTACAGAAGCAATACTACATCGCTTTAGAAGTTTCCTGTAATCTGCTCCAGCATTTAGCTCTTTCGGATCATTTCTATTTCGTGTGCAAATTCAGATCTGCATTTGACATGATGCTCAGTCTCTTCAATCCCCAAAGACGGAGACAGAGGCGCTCGGCCACTTGGAATCGTTTTGAAAGGGCTCAAACCTGCCCTGAGTCTCATTAATAGGAGCTTTGTCTTTGGTGTCAGCAGTAGCAGGATGGAACCCTGAGCTAGTAAAATAGATCAAACTTACCAAGCCAGCAGTTCCCAAAGTATGGTGCCCCCAGGACTGCAGAGTGCCATTAAAAGTCTGGGGTGGAGTAGGCATAGATTTGTGTCCCTGCCACCTGACCCTCACCACCTCCTCTCAGGAACCCCTTTTCCCCCCACCAGCAGCCTGACGCCCATGGCCCATGGGCCCCTGCACAGACCCCCTACAAATCTGAGTGAGTGGCGTTGTGATCCATTGCCCATGATCCAGGTGACCACCCCCAGCTTCATGTCCTCTGGGTACCGCTCTGTTAAACTACGGTGGAATCGGTCAGTGGCATGAAGCAGCTTATGACGCAGGCCATGATATACATGTGGCTGAAAACATCCACACTTGTTTCAGTGCAAAGCAACGGCTGCCATTTTGGCCAACGTACTCGGCACATCTGGGACTAAATGCACGAGTCCCTACGGCTTGAGCTAGAAGAGAAGGCAGTAACAGATTCTCATCCTCCGTGGATCAGGCACAGCAGGGGACATGACACACAGTGACCAGTAGGTTACACAAACATGGCAAGAGCAGTCCCGAGAGCACAGGCCAGACCTCCGATAGTGCTCAAAGCTGTCCTTCATCCGCCGCCGCTCCTTCTCAGCCAGCTCTCCATTGGGTGGGCCACCCTCCTGGAAAGGAAAAGAAAGGCCTGGTCTAGTTGAAGCTTGGGGCTGGGTGGGGATGGGGCCAGCCTTGCTCTACAGAGAGGCCAGGAACTATGTGGGCAATGAGACTCAACTCCTGGAGTTGGCCCCTGAAGGACAAAAGGGGCACAATGGACAGGGCAGTGGAGGGGGTGTGGAGAACATGGACAGCTGCTGTCCATGCAGTGCCATGAGGTGTGCTCCCAGTGGTTTCCGTGAGTGCTCAATTCACTCATTAAAAATGAACCTGTACCAGTGAACGGGCTGAGAGCAACTTCATGGCCAAATGCATCCTCTGGGTGCTGCTGCCGTTTAGAAAGCACACGCGCTTTGCACTGGCAGCTTCTGATGTCCACAGGTCCCCGGGGAACGTTACAGCCTCCTGTGTTCATTCCTGGCCCTATTATCCTGTGCATGGCCCAGTCAGGCTCAGGCCCCGGCTCACACTTAAAACTCAATGGCCTCCTTCTGAAGGCATCCGATGGACTGAAGATCCATTCCACCACTATTCCCGCCCCGAATGCTGAACCGCCCTCATCTCTCCTGAGCAGGTTGGTTCTTCACAGCACCCACTGTGTGTTGTACAGGAGCCCGCTTCTGCATCGCTTCCGGATTAGTGCTCGTGCTTCCGATCCCACCAAAGGCAATGGGGTTACTTGCCCAAGTGAGGGCTTGGAGGGTGAAGCCCTAAACACCAGAATCAGAAGATTAACCACTTAAGATCTCCTTTTGCAATGACAGCAGAGATCCTTGGGGCACAGAAGGGATGTCCAGATGCATCCTTTTGTACAGCCGGAGGTTCACATCCTCTTCGCAGCAGCATGATTAAATGGTCTCCAAAGCAATATTGCTGTTCCTAATCACAAATATCAGTGCCCAGACAACACAGACGCTGAACATGAATTAGCTAGAGCAGGTTTGGGGAGCAGGGGGAGAAATGATGTTAGGAGAAAAAGGAGAAGCTGAGAGATATTTGCAACCGCTGACATAGATGAGAAAGGAAACACTCCCCTGTCAATAGGAAATTGCTTAAAAACCCAAATAGCGTTGCCAGTGCTAATTCTAGAAAATCAGAGGCTCGATATCATCCTTTAAATTTAATGTGGATTATTCCTGAATTAGGTCCAGCCAATCCTGTTCAACAAGACTCCCATAGAGTGTAAGCTCTTTGGGACAGGGACAAACATTTACTATGTGCCTGTACAGCACCTTGCGCAACAAAGGTCCCGATCTGGCGCTACAGCAATATAAATGATCAACGACAACAATGGGAGTTTGGGGTGTGCAAGGAAAGCAGGATCAGCCACTAAATCCTAACGTAAAGGTCAAGTGGATGAGAGAAACACCAACAACTGTCCCAAAAGCGCCCTACCGGAGATGGCGCCTGTAGGCTGCCCATTCTTGTAATATGCCATGAAACAGTACATTCCTGACTGACAGCGAGGCAGCGGATGCGTTGATTGGCGGACTCCATTCCCACCCATACCACTCCCGAAGAGCAGCAGCTTCCAGAAGAGATGGAAAGGACAATGATGCCCTGCTGTTATTTGAAGGATGAATTTGGCCATGAGAATACATAACTCTCCCTGCGAAAGTGCCAGGTACCTCCAAACTGGACACGCCTATCGCAAATGCAAATGTTAATCGTCGTGAGCGAGGCCCCAAAAAGCGGAGGGTTCACAAAGACACTTACGTTTGACGACTGCAGGCACTGAATGCTCTCTAACGCACTGAACTGCTGATCCTGACCTTCAGAGAGATCTTCTAAGAGAGAAGGAAAAACTGCAAGTGTAGTCGCAAACTGGTGTTATTTATTATCTGTGTTACATTAGCACTTGGACCCCTGCTGTTCTAGAAGCAGCCCCAGCCCCCCAAAACTTTCCATTGGATAGAGACAAGGCAGACAAAGGAAGGATTCACCCTTTGTACAGATAGGGAGCTGAGGCTCAGAGAGATGAAGTGATTTGTCCAAGACCACCCAGGGATTGCATGGCAGAGCCAGGAATTGATCCCTGATCGCCTGAGTCCCCATCCAGGGCCTTCATCATAAGCCCATCCTTCTTCACGTCATTGGTTTGTGGTTTTACAACCTTAGAACAGAACCAACTGCTTGTAGACATTGTGCATTTGATACCCCGGGTGTCCCAAAGTGCTCTGCAGAATTAACAAGCGAGACGGCGAGAACACAGTAACCGATGCAGGTGAAGGGCGATGGCCACTGGGTCACTGGCAACAGCTCACACCTCGTGTAGGAGGTTATTGCTTGGTACGTGCAGAGTGCGCCGCGTTTTCAAGGTGCTGCACATACATTAAGCCAGTCTTCCAACCTCCTTGGGATGTAATCTGCATTACTATCCCCAGTTGACAGATGAGTGGGGAAAAGGAGACAAAATTGAAGTGACTCGCCCAAAACTATACCGCAAGTCAGTGGCAAAGTGAAAACCAGACCTCAGGAGGTCCTGGATTCCAGTCCTGAGCTCAGTCCGCTAGCGCAAGCTGCCATGTTACTAGCTGTTGGAATCTTGCTCAGGACAGTGGGTTTTTCCCCTAACTCTTTTCAAAAAGGGACGTGGGATCTTCACATGAACCCAAGGGACCTCAACAAAGCAGCCCCTTAAGGTTGTTCTCTAACGAAGATAAATTGAGAGGTCACATTGCTTAACATGATATTAAATATGACTGGTCACTGTCCACACTAGCTAAGTCATGTTTAATATCATGTTAGTTAGAACACTCTTGAGGGTTGCGTTAACACAGCCTAGTTTTCTAGCAAGATCAATCCTATATAGAACTGTGCAGTTCACACTGTGACTTCATCATGCGAGTGCAGAATTTGAACTCACAGCAATCCATTAAGGAACAGAGATCGCTACCAACCTGCTAACCTGAACTGGTACTTAAAATCAGACTAGGGTTTCTAAAGCTTTTCAGTGACCTCCCTTCCCAAATGGGTGAAAAAAATATTCAGCCCCTCAGGAGGTTAAAACAGGAAGATGCTCCCCTGTGGCAGTTTCTCTCTTCTTTTTGGAAGCGTAGTTCAAACCCTCAGTGTAGCCTGTCAAGTCTTCCTCAATGATGAGTCATTTCCACTAGAACCTCCACAAAAGCAGAACTGGGGATGGTGTGTTCATTAGCTAGTTCTGCTTTTGTCAAAACCCAAGTGAAAATAACCTAATTTAAGGAAAAAAAACAACCCAGCAAAGAGCATGGAGAAAGGTGCACGACTCAGTTAAAGTGGAGTCAGGACACCTGGGTTCTGTTCTCAGATCTGCCCCGACAAGCAGAGAGAGCCCAGTCAAGTCACATAGTGTCTGATTTTCACAGATGCCGAGTGCCCGCAGTGCTCCTTAACTTCACTGGAGACAGAGAGTCCTCCACATCTTTGAAAAGTCAGGCCCTGCACATCTCCAAGCTCATTTTTCCTGGGGGCGTCAATACACTGGCAATCTCTTAATAATGAGACTTTAGGATCAAATGGAACAGTATTGCCTAGTGCTGTTATAACGAGCTAGCCCAGCACAGCCTTCCAGAATGTAGCCACTTGAGGACCCTCCCAGATCACATGTCATGAAGAGACGAATGAAGGTAAAAAGCTTTAAGTGCTCAGCAGGGGGCTTCACAGACATCCCTTTTGGGAGATGACCGGGGGGTCTAGACACCTCCATTTTGGCGTACCCAAGTTGAGACACCTTCTGTGGGTTGACTTTCAAAGTGCTGAGCGCCCACCCTGGGAGTCCCAAAAGCGTGTCCCAAATTGGGGCCCCCCAAACCATTAATTACTTTTGAGAATTCAGGCCCCATTGATGCCCCAAGACTACACAGCAGAGCCAGGGGCAGAACCCAGGAGGTCCCGACTCCCAGCTGCCTGCTTGAACCACTAGACATATTGTATCGGGAATACTGCTCTAATGTCTCCAAGTAGAAATTAAACAAAAAGTCTTACTTTTGTCAGACAGCAGTGTGTCCTCATCCAGGTTTCCATGGAAAGAGAGCTTTGGGACAAAAAGAAATATGTCTCTTCTGGGGAAATAGCAATACCCATTTTCCTCTCTTAGTCTCCCACAAAAAAGACAAACGATTAAAAACAAAAACAGAGCCCCAGGATTCCACAAGTTTCTCTTTCCTGTCTAGCGAGAGTTGCAAGGCAGCCGACCCATCCTATTCAATATCACCTTAGTGACGCGCCTGTAGATACAAGTGCTATGCATGAATGAAGCCAATTCTCCAGTGAAAACACTACCCCACACCAATAGGATAGTACTTCTATTGTGTGTATGGCACCCTTCGTCCCACTTCAATCTCATCACCTACTGCTGAATGCAGCTGCCTCTAGGCAGGGAGCAGCAGCAGCAAACATTACACAACAGTTGGAGCAGTGTGGGGAAAAGTGGAGGGCGACTTCTCCAGTGGGATGGCCAGGGGATGCAAGGAGACAGGTTGTAATTGCCTCCATAGGGGTTTAATTAGGTCACCAGGAAAGAGCTAAGATCTGTAAATGATCACAAGTGGCCAGGACCTTAGATCTCACCTGAAAGATGCAAAGTTGCCATGGTTTCAATCAATTAAACCAGCCCTGCTCCCCACCCCACTACAGGACACTAACTCCCCCTTCACCCTGATGCTTTCCATGGAGATTCAGACTGCACTGGCTTTGGCTGAGACTTGGGAATACGTGGGGCCCCTTTATATCCAGGCAGGGGGAGGATTCCCTTTTATTCACATCTTGTATCTTGACTGAAGATGCGATACACTAGACAACTGCTGGCTCCTGCTTCACGGCAGCTGAAGCAACCTGGCCATGCTAGGGACCATGCTGGAAAGGCTGTCTCGGTGCATCCTCGCAGAGACTTGTCACATCTGCTCAGAGTCAGTGGGGCTCCCCATGCAAGTCAGGGCTGCAGAACTGGGCCCTTTATTTGTATCCCGAGCATTTAAAGTTACTCTCACCGAGCTACAAAGCTTGGCCCAGAATCTGAGCTGCAGCCCAGATGGGCTTGGATGACTCAGGATTGGCGCACACATCCTCTCGAACCCGATGCCACCCAGCCACTGGGCTGGTCTCCAGTATAAAAGCAGAGCCGCCTTAGTACTACTCTAATCCTGGTTCTTGCTCCCAGGGATGGCTGGAGCACTGTTTGCCCTGGCCACGCCTCTCTCCCCCAGATACACACACTGTTCTGGCAGCTGCTAAGGGGGAAGACAGAAGAGCTGCTATGGCAGGAGCTACACCTTCTAGAGGTTTCTCTGCACAGGGCATCCTCCCTTGGCTGGTTATGCTGGGGTGGGGTTTTTTCAGGTGCTTTATGCCACTGGAGCACAAACTGAAGCTGGCTGCAAGTTATCTGCTAAGGAGCCTTTGAGCAGAGCTGGGGAACCCAAAGACCTTCCACAAGGCGGTCAGACTAAAGCCAGCTAGCCACTTTCCTCACCTCTTGGGAACTCCTGGGTGAGACGTCATCTAGGTCAGAAGTCTGGAACTGTAAGAAAACAAGCCAGTCAGGGATCAGTCTGGAGAACACGCTCCACAGCGAGACAACAGCAATGATGGCACGTAGAACAGAACGAAAGCTAGGAACTGAGACGCAGGGATTTCCTCCCTCTTACCTGTCCCGACCGGCCCAACCAGAAGCCACCCAGAGACTAGGGTGTTCTTTTCGTTCTGGGCTTAGGAACAGAGTTATGGTACATCTCCCCCGCCACCCACAGATTTCACCCCAACGGCTCAAGCCTTGTCCTTCCTGGGCTTCAGTTGGCCTTGATGCACCAGGGCCAGCCCCAAATGCAAATAAGGAAGGGATGCATTTGCACTGGTGGAGATTACTTACGCTGGAAGCCAGGGTGAGCTCTACTGCGGCCAATCCCAATTTCCCTTGTCTAAGCACAGCCATTGATTGCGGAATCGAGGCTGATCCCAACTACAGGCAACGTCAGTGTCTGAAATCAGTGCAATACCCAGAGCCAGGGCCCCCCAGCCTCTTCCCCTGCCCATAGCACAGTACCTGCATGTAGCTGTGTATTCCTGTAGACTTACCAGCGTCGGTGGCTCCAGGTGCAACTTTTTCAGCTTGGCCTCAGCGGCTAGTAACTGGCCCTCCTTCTGGAACAGCTGTAGCTGCATCTCATCGCACCTCTCCCCCAGCTCCCGGATCTCTTTGCGGTAGGCGTCTTTGTCGACTAGGCTCTTGGAGTATTGCATGTGGAACTGCTCTCGGGTCAGCAGCGCCTGGTGTGGAAAGCGGGAGGGCAAAGCGTGTCATTGACATGGCGTCTGAGCCTACACCTCCCATTATCTTTGGTAGCTGGGCTCCAAACAGGAAGTTTTATCACCTGGTCTCTTTCTGCAGCCACTTCTTCTATCTGCTTCAAGATGGCCTCGATGCGATCCTTGTACATCCGGGAGTCCTTCCTCAGGGACATGCACTGCAGCTCCAGCACCTCCTTCTCCTCCGCGTGCTGCAAGCAAAGCACAGAAGAGCCCTGCTCATGGGGCTTGCTTGACTGAGACACCCAGTGCTGGAGGCAAAGGGGCTTGCTTCACTCTTGAAACACCCGTGGCTTGTCGTGTAAATATCAGACACGGATTGCTGAGCCGTGCCAAAGCAAGGAGACTCTTCTACAGTTGACCAAGCCCAATGCCAATTACACCAATGATTGAGTGGACGGAGGGTGAGTCTGAGGGCAAGGAGACTTACCATATGATCTTGGACAAGTCATATGGCCTCTCGGTGCCTCAGTTCCCCCGGGGATGATGCTTACTCCTACTGAGAAAGCATATTGAGGTCTACAGGTGGGAAAGTGCTTGGAAGGCAAAGGAGATGTGGGGCCGATGTAAGCATTTTGCAAACAGTAACTGATCAGTTCTCCTGGCGATCCAGGTGGATCAGCGTCATCATCCCCATCTTACATGTGAAGCAGAGAGAGGCCACATCTTTCCCAAGGACATGGAGTCAGTACTGGAGCAGAGGAGTACCCATCTCAGATCATGTTTCTCATTAAACTGCTGCTACGTTTGA